GTAGGTGCGTGTCTCTTTGCTGCTGCTGCTGCTGCAGGAGGCGCAGCAGTGCGGCAGTGACGGTCTCCGTGCAGCAGCAACAGCAGCAGCAGCAGCAGCAACAGCAGCAGGAGACAGAGGAGACAGCTTCGCTCTGCGCCGGAAGCGGCATGAAGCCAACGAAACCCCAGTAATAAATAAACCCTTTTATTAGTTTTCATTGCAAACCCTAAACCCTAAACCATCAAACCCTAAACCCTAAACCCTTCTTGTTTGTTTGTTTGTGCAGAGGGCCCGAGCGCTTTGGTGGGAGCCGCAGCCAACTGGGCCCTTCGTACCCCCGACCCGTAAGCCCTTTGTTTTTGCTGCTGCTGCAGCTGCTGCTGCTGCAGCTTCTGCTGCAGTTGCTGCTGCATGCTTCGTTTAGGGAGGCGCTCCTCCTTTGTGTGGGGCACTATGTGTTTTGCTGATGCTGCTGCAGCTGCTGTTGTTGGTGCTGCTGCTGCAGGTATTGCGTCTTCATTGCTGAAGCTGCAACATGTGCTGCAGCTCCCAGCAGCAGCAGCAGCAGCAACAGCTCCTGAGAGGTTTCCGGCACCGTCGAGTGTCTTTGCTTCGGTGCCTCCTTTTACTGCTGCAGATATGCGGGTGATACACCCCTTAGCAGAACCCCCTTCTGCTGCTGCTGCTGCTGCTGCTGCTGCTGGTGCGGGCTCCCCCAAAGATGCAAGGGGAGACGCTCCTTTACAGACAGCAGCAGCGTGCAGCAACGCAGCAGCAGCAACAGCAGCACCCGCTGGTGCCCGAGTTGAACTCTATCAAAGCCAGCAGCAGCCGGTGCTGCTCCCCGTGCTGCAGCAGCCGCAGCAACAGATGGGACATCCTATGCTGCAGCAGCAGCAGCAAGTGCAGCCACCGCCACCGCACCCGCAGCAGATGCCGCAGCCGATGCTGCTGCAGCAGCCACCCCCTCTCTTTCTGCATGGGTTTGCTCCTCCTCCTCTTCCTGGTTTGCTGCTGCCCCCTGCTCCTCTGCCGCTGCAGCAGCAGCACAGGCCCATGCAGCAGCAGCAGCAGCACCGCCAGCTGCTGCAGCAGCACCACCCCAGGAGACCTCCCGAATACCGCGGCAAACACCACCGCATGCAACAACAACAGCAGCAGCAGCAGCAGCAGCAGCACGGGAGGATGGTTGGGCAGCAAAACCCTGACCCCCCCGCACCGTGGCGCGCATAGCTGTTGCTGCTGCTGCTGCAGCTGCAAGTGCAGCAGCAGCAGCATGTGCAGCAAACAGGGCTCCTCTAGCTGGAGCTATAACTTTGTCTACCGGCGAGCTAGCGAGTTGGCTAGCACGGTGGGTAGACTAGCTAGCTAGCTAGCTAGCTATGCCCTCTTCCTAGCTCGTTAGCTAGCTCTCTAGCTAGCTAGCTAACTAACTATGCCTTCTTTCTAGCTAGATAGCTAGCTCTCTAGCTGGCTAGCCAGTTAGCTAGCTAGACGGTTAGCTAGCTACCCAGCTAGCTAGCTAGCTGCACTGACTTGCGAATGCAATTCGATGCGTCGCCCCTCGAAGCGCTGAGGCGGCTAACTGGCTAGCTAGCTAGCTAGCTAGCTAGCTAGCTAGCATTGCTGACGAACTGTTCATCCTTTGGGCGTGAAGGGGCTCGGCCTGCAGCAGCAGACGCTGCAGTGGCAGCTTTTGCTGCTGCTGCTGCTGCTGCTGCTGCTGTTGACGCTGTATTTGTGAAACTTGTAGCTGCAGCAGCAGCAGCAGTTCTTAAGAGGCTAGCAGCATAAAGATATGTAGCACCACCTGCCAGAGCTTCCCTAACACAGTGGCCCCCCTCTGCTGCTGCTGCTGCTGCTGCTGTTGCTGCTGCTGCCGCTGCTGCTGCAGTAGTGCAGGCAACAGCCGCAGCGCCAGGCGCGCAGTCAGCAGCAGCAGTGGCTGCAGCAGCATTCTTTTTTTCTCCGCTGCTGCTGCTGCTTGCGCTGCAGCAAGAACACAGCCTTCGTCTTCTCGCTGCCGTAGCTGTTGCTGCAGCTGCTGCTGCAGCTGCTGCTCTGCTGCAGCAAGCGCTTCTTGAAAGCAAGGGGAATCCATGAGTCCTAGCTGCTGCTGGTCCTGCTGCTGCTGCGCCGCTGCTGCTGCTGCGCATGCGTTGTTGCGCAGCAGCAGCAGCGCCTGCTGCTCCGCTGCAGCAACAGCAGCAGCAGCAGCAGCTCCTGGAACCAAATGCTCTGTGCACTCAGCAAACAGATTTATTGCTTCCTGCTGCAGCTGCTGCAGCAGCAGCTTGTACTGCGGCAGCAGCACTGCTGCAGCAATGTGCAGCAGGCGCGACCGCTGCAGGGCTCTCTGCTGCAGCAGCAGTTGCTGCTGCTGCTGCTGATTACCTTGCTGCAGCATAACTAACTCGCCTCCTACTCCTGCTGCACTTGCTGCTGCTCCGTATCCCTTCACCTTAAACGCCCGCTGCAGCAGCTGCTGCGCTCCCACTGAAAACCTCCGTGCTGCTGCTGCTGCTGCTGCTGCTGCTGGAGCAGCAGCTGAGCTTAGCTGCTGTTGTTGTTGCTGCTGCTGCTGCTGTGTTAGCAAGTTTGATAGGAGACAAATGCTGGCCACTGTATTCCCTGCAGCACAGGATCAGCAGCACAGTTGAAGAGAGGTGCAGCAGCAGCAACCGTAGCAACGCCAACAGCAGCAGCAGCAACAAAAACAGCAGCAACAGCAGCAGCAAGACAGCAGCAGCAAGCCTACCGACGAGAGGGTAACTATGCAGTCGGGCTTCTTTGATTGACGGCAGCTCCAGCAGCAGCAACGGACCACCTGCTGCAACAGCCTGCAGCAAGAGGGGCTGCTGCTGCTGCTGCTGCTGCTGCCACCGCCGCTGGAGCTCTACTGCAGCGTACACAACAGCTGCAGCTGCAGCTGCACCAGCAGAGGCCACAGCAGCTGCTGTTGCTGCTGCTGCAAGAGGCGCCGCAATGGGCTTGGCGAGGCCATCCTTTGCTGCTGCTGCTGCTGCTGTTGCTGTTGCTGCTGCTGTAGAACGCCGCAGGAACCATTGCATACGGCTGTGCTGCTGCTGCTGCAGCAGCTGCTGCAGCTCCTGTTGCTGCTGCTGAACCTGTTTATGCTGTTCACGCTTCCATGGGCGGAAGGCTATTCTAATCTGCAGCGGCAAGCCTCCTGGGAGTTTCGCTGCTGTTGCTGCTGCTGCTGCTGCTGCTGCAGGACGCAGCAAGGAGCAGTGCGCACACGGAGCCCCCACACAGAGCAGAAAAACGATCAGCAACAGCAGCAGACAGAGCTGCTGCTGCTGCTGCCATTGCATCCTCTACGCTGCCTTCATAGCTTCTGCTGTTGCTGCTGCTGCTGCTGATGTGCTGATACAGTTGCAGTTGCTGCATGCATTATTGCTGCTGCTGCTCTTCCTACGCCACCCTCTTTTGCTGCAGAAGACGGCTTATTAGCAGTCCTTTTCTATACTGTGTTGCTGCTGTTGCTGCTGTTTATTTCAATACCGGCTGGCAGCAGCAACTGCTGCAGCAGCGGCCCTGCAGCAGCAGCAGCAAATGCTGCAGCAGCAGCAGCAAAGCACCTGAGTGTTTTATTTAGAGATTAAACGATGAAATAACTGCTGAAAAACAAAGGAAGTCCAAAGACATCCAGAAAATCCCCTCGAAACCTGCGGGGCCCACACTGCTGCTGCTGCTGCTGCTGCTGCTGCTGCTGCTGCTGCTGCTGCTGCTCGTACTGCAGGATCAGCAGCAAAAGGCTGTCGGTGGCACCTCAGAGCTTACATGAAGCAGCTACCGCAAATAGTCTTCCGTCTTCTTGTGTTTATTCGCCACAGACACCTTAAATTTGCTGCTGCTGCTGGCGATGAAGCCAGCAGCAGCGGCAACAAGAGCAGCAGCAGCAGCAGCAGCAGCAGCAGCAGCAGCAGAAGTTGGACAAGGTCCTTAGGCGGCTTTCCCGCATTTGGGCAATGATTTCTTTCAAGGGATCCGCTGAGTGGCTGCAGCAGCAGTTGTATTGGTGGCGCTGCAGCGGCAGCACGGAGCACAGCAGCAGCAGCAGCAGCAGCAGCAGCAGCAGCAGCACCAGCGACAATGGGAACCAGGAGGGCGAGCGTATGTCTTCTGCTGGTGTGAGGCTGCAGCGAGCTGCTGCTGTGCTGCTGCTGGCCTTCTGTGTACCCCTATGCACGCCGCTGCTGCTGCTGTTGTGCTGCCCTCTGCTGTTGCTGCTGCTGCCACTGTTGCTGCTGCTGCTGCCGCAGCTGCTGCCCAACGCAGCAGTAGATTCGCCAATAAAGGCAGCAGTGGAGGCCTGGCACAGACGCCAGCAGCAGCAGCAGCAGCAACAACAACAGCTGCAGGGACCCCGTCAACAGCAGCAGCACAGCCAACAGCAGCAGCAGGAACCGCAGCAGCAGCAGCAGCAGCAGCAGCAGCCGCTTCATCTGGTGCTGCTGGTAGTCGGCGACTTTGGGCGGAGCCCGCGAATGTGTCAGCATGCTATTTCTGCGCTCCAGACGCAGCAGCAGCAGCAGCAGCAGCAGCAGCAGCAGCAGCAGCAAGATCTACAGCAGCAGGAGAAGCAGCAAGTCCTGGTGGGTCCCCCCATCGTGCATGTGGTGGCATTCAATGAGTCTCCTCTGCCTGCTGCTCTTGCTGCTGCAGCAGAGCAGCAGCAACTGCTGCTGCACCCGCTGCAGCAGCCCAGCATAGAGCGCAGCCGACGGCGGCTGTGCAGCAGCAGCATCGGGACGTGCTGCTTCTTGCTGCTGAAGCTGCTGCAGCTGTCGTTGCAGCTGCTGCTGCAGCTAGTGCGTCTCTTTGCTTCCATCCGCCGCGTTACGAAACAACAACAGCAGCAGCAGCAGCAGAAGCAGCAGCGGGAGCGCGTGTTGCTGCTGCTGCAGAACCCCCCGGGGTTTCCTGCGCTGCTGCTCGCAGCAATTTGCTGCAGATGCGCGGGCTATCGCTTTGTAGTGGATTGGCATAACTAC